GCTAATAAGCATATGTTAATTACTTTCATTACATATCAGAAAAATGCAAAATAAAATCACACTGAGATTTCACTACACACCAGATTGGCTTAAAGTAAAAGTATACTATCAGTGTGGGCAGCTCTTTCTGCCCACAGGTCCTGTCCCTGTGCTTTAATAAAATTTTGCACTAAAAAAAAAAAAGTGTTAGTGTGAATGTGAAACAACTGGGACTCTTTTACTGTGCTGATGGAGATGTAGAATAGAATGACCACTCTGGAACAAGTATTGGCTGTTTCTAATAAAGTCAAACATATGCCTACCCTGTGCCCAAGAGAAATAAATACGTGTTTCTAGAAAAAAGACTTGTATAAAGGGGCACCTGGGTGGCTCAGTCGGTTAAGCATAGGACTCCTGATTTCGGCTCAGATCATGATCTCAGGGTCATGAGATCAAGCACCACATTGGGCTCCATGCTGGGCATGGAGCTTGCTTAAGATTCTCTTTCTCCCTCTCCATCTGCCCCTCCCCCCTTAAAAAAAAGGCTTGTGTAAGAAACTGCTAGCACCTTTATTCATAGCAGCCCTAAACAAGAAACAACATAATCCAATAAGAGAATGAATAAACAAATGTTGCTATATTCATACAATGAAATACTATGCAGCAATAAAAAAAGAATTATATTGATACAGGCAAGAACATAACATAAAAGAAGCTCAAAATTATGTTGAGCTTAAGAATCCAGCTACAGGGGTTCCTGGGTGGCTCAGTCAGTTGAGTGTCTGACTCTTGATTTCAGTTTGGGTCATGATCTCATGGTTGGTGAGATTGAGCCGCTCATTGGGCTCTGCACTCAGTGCAGAGTCTGCTTGGGATTCTCTCTCTCCTCTTTCTCTCCCCTCCACTCACTCACTCACTCACTCACTCTCTCATAAATAAATAAATAAATAAATAAATAAATAAATAAATAAATAAATAAATAAATAAATATCTAAAAAAAAAGAAGCAGCAGCAGCTAGCCACAAAAGAGTAGTGTACTTTATGATTCCATTTATATGAGGCAAAACTAATCTGTGGTCATAGAACTGAGAATAATGGTTACCTCTGGGAGTGTAAAGATGTTGGTCTGACTAGAAAGAGCACAAGGAACTTTCTGGGGTAATAATGATTACATGGGTATATGCAAATGCAAAAATTTATCAAGCTGTACACTTAAGACATACGCATTTTAGTATATGTAAATTATGCCTCCATTAAAAAAATCGATTGGTTCCTAAATTAGTGTTATATATCTGAAAAATTCATATCAAACCCATATGCTAGAGACAGCAGTTTGGGATTTGTTAGTTTAAGCCTTAGTTAAAAGAAGGTACATTTGTAAATATCTCATAGAAAGCATGGAGCAGCAGCTCCGGAAAGAAAAACACATCTGTTTCATTCAGGCCCATTGTGACTTGCCTGTGTCCCAGAGGCAATATTTGTCTCAACTTCATTAATAAAATAACTTAATTTCTTATATTCAGATTCTACCAGGCAGTTTTTATTTCTTCTCGCTTTCTCTTCCTTAGTAGCATGTAATTCAGTCTAATCATGGATTCTGATTTTCATTTCTAATTTTCTGTGACCCATAACCCAACTTGACTCTTTCTACTTATCTGATACAGTTAGCCCCTAGTCACTATGTGCAAGCCCCAGTGCTCTACATCCAGAGGAGTAAATATAGCGCCTGACCTCAAAAACTGTCGAGGCAGAGAAGTCAATGATAACAACAGTAGTAATAATTTTAATAGGAAACATTGTTTGAATACTGACTTTAGGTTAGGCACTATCCAGATGCTTTATATGAATTATCCAGTATCACAACAACCCTAAGAGGCGGTGCAGGATGTCAGGGTAAGACTGACATCTTTTGTATGAGGACAGAGATGAAGAACCTCTCTATTATCTCAAGTATTTCAACTCTGGCCCAATCCTCACTTCAGCAAAATAAAGCTGGATAACAAAACTCATTCTCTTTAGAAGTAATCTGCTGTAACTGCACATCTCTTGGAGATATTACTTCCCCCCCCCACACACACACACCCCATAATGTTCTCCTTGAAAAAGGTTTGGGTAAATATAAGGGTTTTTTTTCCTTTTTGTAAATTGGTACCCTTATAAAAAAAAACCTTGATAACTGCCCTATCTGACCACCATGTTCAGTTTTTGAGGTAGATGCTGTCTTTAATCCCTGTTTTATTGATGAGAAAACTGAGGGTCAGGCAAGTTGAGTAATGTGCTTTTTTTATTTTGTATTGCTGTGTAACAAGTTACTACAAATTTGCTAGTTTAATACACATACACATTTATTATCTCACAGTTTCTCTAGGTCATGAGTCAGGCACAGGTTAGTTGGGGCCTCTGCTCAGGGTCTTAGAAAGCTGTAGTCAAGGTGACAGCTGAGCTGCATTCTAATCTGGAGGTCTAGGTCCCCTTCCAAACTCACATGGTTGTTGGCAGGATTTATTTTCTTGCATCTGTATGATAGATGTCTCACTTTTTGCTAGCTGTTAGCAGAAGTCATTGCCACATGACCCCCTTAGTTGGTCTTCCCACAACATGTGAGCTTATTTCTTCAAGGCCACTCTCCAACATTAGGGAGGGCACCAGACCCTTTTTTAAAGGACCACTTAATTAGGTCTGGCCCATATAAGATAATCTCCTTTTTATTAATTCCAAGTCAGCTGATGAGGAGGAGCCTTAGTTACATCTGCAATGTTCCTTTGGCCATTTACTGTAGCATAACAACGGGATTCATATCTCATCTATTCCCAAAGTCTACCCACACTCAGGGGAGGAGATAATACAAGGTGGGTACACCAAGAGGACAGCAATCTTGGGGACCATCTTAGAATCCTGCCTACCAACATGCACAGTCACCCATCAGGTAATTGGCAAAGCAGTGTTCTCTTTGAGCAAAGTATGCATCAAAATCATTATGTTGAAATGCCTCTCAAAAACAGAAAAGTTAACTACCAAAAAAAATTTTTTTAATATTCCAAATACCTGACACTTATGAATAATTTAATAATTAGTACCATTAACATAAGTATCAGCTATGTCAATACCTAAAAATGCACATATGTAAATAATGTTAAGGAACAAAAATAAGACTATAAAATAATACATACATGCTCTTGTTATATTGCTAAAACAAGGATTAGGAAATATATGATAATGTTAAATAGTTGATTTAAGTTTCCAGACCTTTAAAAAATTTACCCGTCATTTTTTAAATATAATAATTCTATAAAAAGATAGCTTACCATACAAAATAACAGATGATAAATGTTAAATATTTGTTTTGACAGTAAGTGCTACAGAAGTTCAGAGTAGGGGAGATTAATGTGGACTAGAATTTCCCTTTAGTTGTAAAATAAGGTTAATTTTTTTATGAGGTAGTTTATCATAAAATTTGCCCTAGGACTAGTTTCTTTTCTGTAACTTGCAACCTATTCAGTGTCATCTGCTCAGTGTAAAGGATTATGTGTCTTCTTTGAAGAGGACCATGTCTTTTTCCCAAATGTGGCTCATTCTCATTTGAATAGAATTCCTTTAGTATTGCTGTAGAAACTCAAAATCTTAAGAGTTCTTGTTAATAGCCCTCTTTTATCAGAAGATAGGAAACATGGTGTTGCTGTATATCTGTTGACACTTTTTGCCAATCAGTTCATCATTTTCAACTACTGCAAAGTAAATTGGCAGGATTTTTTCCCCCTTCTCCTAGGGATCTCAATTATTCATTTATTCCATGTCTCCAGAATAAGATAAGCATCTCAACTGTTTATGAGTTCTAACTTAAAAAGAAGTTGTGGTAGACTGAATAATGCCCCCCCTCCCAAATATGCCCATGTCCTAATTCCTGGAGCCTGGCCTAATTCCTGGAGCCTGTGAATGTCTCTTTATATGACACAAAGGATTTTATATGACAAGAGACTTTATAGATGTGATTAAGTTAATGATCTTGAGATAAGGAAATTACCCAGGATTACCTGGATGAGCCCCATGTTATCAAAACATGAGACACAGGAGGAATCAGATGTCCCATGATACAGGTCAGTAGTTCTCAAAGTGTGGTCCCAGATGAGCAGCATCAGTATCATCTGGCAACTGGCTAAAAACACAGCTTCTCCAACTCTGCTCCAGACTTCCTGAATGCAAAACTCTGGGTATGAAGCCCAGCAATTCACGTTTAACAGTTCCTCCAGGTGATTCTGATACATGCTAAAGTTTGAGGATCACTGATATAAACTAAGTTTTGCTCTCCCTGATAGAGCTTGAGGCTAGAAAACCAGAAAGCTCACTCTATTGGCCTGCAACTACTTCCTTTCTGTGTGAGTTGTATCAGGCTATAATCACTTGAACAGCTTAATTGAAAAATCACTTATGTTTATAGCTGAAATTAAATGTGTTTTGTGTTTAAATAACTGCTTTTGATTAGAATCATATTTTTTGTAAAGTGCTTGGTTTTATTTGTGTGCTATAAAGATATTTATAAAAACTCATCAAATTTCTAGCAGTAACTAACATCTTATTCAGGATAAGATGAAATGTTTTACAACAAATCTCATTGTGTGTAATGGACAAAGGGCATTAGAAAGGGTATTTAAGATGGCTGAATGGATTTCTTGGCTTAGTATTTAAAAGTAAACATTTTAAGACATTAACATTTAATGTTTTTGTCTCTTCTCAAAGTTGATTTTATGTAACCCTCATTATTTGCAACATCCTGTCATCTTGCTTAAGCAGCAAATAGCAACACTTTCTTTTTCTCATCCCTGTGGATTTACTGAACTGTAGATTGAAAATGGTTTTAGCTTTGTGGCACATGTCTGTTTAGCTGTGTGAATACGATCATTTATTATTTAAGAAGTCAAAACAACAACTTCATTTGGTAAACATATATCATTGATTTCTGAAAAGCCAAAAGAGCTCATTTCAGTGTACTCTTATTTGACAAATGATCTTGTGGTTCCTTTTAGGTATCCAGTAGGAAAAGCACTCTTCAGTCTTCAGCTATGGAATTAGATGGTTCCTACTTGAGTGTAGCCAAATCACAATCCTGCTATCAAACCAAGCAGAGGCCTAAGTCTGCAAACCAGGACTCAGCTTCAGAAGCCCTTCTGCAGTTTAGGAATAATTCTTTGAAACCAGCAGACTTCCGTTATCCCAAAACAGACCTAGACAGGGTGTCATCAAAGACCAGAACATGTGATTATGGATCCCCGGGGAGAAAACTAGCAGATGCAGTCCCTACAGAGAAGGTTCCACCAGCAGAATTGAAGATGAAAGAATGCCAACCCCTGAAGCCTACTCCATCCAGTCAGTGTTGTGGTCATAGGCTTTCTGAAAATGTCGATCCTATTCATGAAAGCCATCCTACACACATGGCCCCTCAATATTCCAGAACACATCTGGAATCATGCAGTTATTGTGGGCCCTCCTGGACATCCCTGATACATGGTCAAGGGACCCAGCAGTCTGGTGAAACTGATGTCAAAAAGCAAGTCTCAGAAAATAGAAGACAGCAACTTATGCTTCAGAAAATGGAGCTGGAAATTGAAAAAGAGCGCCTTCAGCATCTGCTGACCCAGCAGGAGACAAAGCTTCTCCTAAAACAGCAGCAGCTTCATCAGTCTCGACTGGATTACAATTGGTGAGTCTTATTTGTTCTTTCAGCAATGTCTGTAGCTTGGAGAACACGGTGTAAAGTAACTGTTGTGCTACTCTAACACTTGCGAAGGAACAGAGGTTCCTCAGGGGCTTGGCTTGCTCAAGATGCATGCTCACTAGGACAACTAAGTAAATTCCACTGTCTTATTTGGAAGACTTGGAAGATTACCTTGTCTTCCAGAATGTTAGCTTAGAATATCTACTTCTGAGTGGTCCATTGTCACTTTTGCTGGATTCCAAAGGGAATATTTTTAAAAGAAATGATTGTATAAAAACCCTTTGCTGTTTGTGGTCATTATAGAGAATAATGGGCATTAAGTAAAAATTTGAGACTTCAGGATGTGGAATCAGATTGTGAAGCAGAGTGATTAACTATCACCATTCCATATTTATGTGTATCCACCCTAATATAAAATGTAACAAATGATAGGAGCCTTTTCAGTTCAGCCTTTTCTCATCATGAAGCATAACCTGTTCAATAACCAATTCTTACAAACTTACCCACATTTAAACTCTTCCTCCCTTAACAATTCTTCCCTAAGAACAGTGTTTCAAAAACTAAATTGGTATTTTGAGATTATGTAGCCCAGCATAGTTTTCCATGCAGCATCATAAAGTTTGCCATCTTAATTTATTCAAGCAAAATTATTAATAAATCAGACACAATTATTTTTAAACATAATAATATGTTATTTAACATATTTAACATATTCCACCAGCGGAATTGAAGATGAAAGAATGTTAAAATAACATATTTTAAACATAATATGTAATTTATGTCTCTAAAAAATAAATTAGAAGTTGTCATAAGGAAATGCTTGTGTATATCCCTGCCATTTCCTTCTTGATCAAACTTACTATTTCCCCGTTTATACACACTCACACATCCTATACAGACACACTTAATATGAATGTTATTTTCTTTTACTTCTTAATTTTCTCTCACTTAAAGATTCTGCCTAATATTTTTTAGATTCTAATTTCTTTGAGAGTTCCATCTTGACATTTTTCCATGAGTGTAATACTTTTCTTGGAACAGAAATGCTCTTCCTCTTTCTCTTCATTTATGGTCAGACAGTTCTGTTCTTCATTGTTGAAAGCTGGAGGCATTTAACGTAACTGAAAATGAAGGCTCCTACAAGATTGTCACCAAACTCCAAAAGGTTGCTTCAGTTTTATAACCCCAGTCTCTAATCCTCCAGTTAATGTGTCGTCTCTCCTAAGAATGTTATTTAACAAACATTTATAAAATGCCTGTGATATGTCAGAAATGGTTCTAGACACTTAGGATAGAAAATGAATCAAATGTGGTCTTTAAAGGGGGCACAGTCCAGCAGGGGAGAATGGATAATTTTAGAATAGGTATCATGTTCATTTGAACAGCACTGTTTATTGAAATAATGCTGCATAACGACAATAAAGTCTTTATTGTTCTCTTGATCATCCTAGCTTAAAGATGAGAGAGCTATGAGACAGTTTTTGAGCAAGTTTCATTTATGTATAAATTGCAAAAGTTTATACATATTTATAGAGCTTTTATAAACTTTTTATTTTGAAATAATTAGAGATTGACAGGAAGTTGCGAAAGCAGTAGAGGTTCCCCTCCAGTTTCTCCCAATGGCTATGTCTTACATAACTGTAATGCAATGTCAAAATTAGTAAATTAACATTGGTACAATGTGTGTGTCTAGCTCTATGCCATTTTACATGTGTGTAGACTTAATCACCACAGCAATCAAAATATAGAACTATTTCATCACTATCAAGATTTCCTTTTTACTACCCTATTTGAGTTGCCTACCCTTTTCTGCCCCCACCATCCCTAATCCTTGGAACCCACTAATCTGTTGTCTGTATCTATAATTTTGGCATTTTGAGAATGTTATATAAATGAAGTTATACACTTTGTGAACTTTTTTTCTTTTTTTTTTAAAGATTTTTATTTATTTATTTATTTGAGAGAGAGAATGAGAGAGAGAGCACATGAGAGGGGGGAGGGTCAGAGGGAGGAGCAGACTCCCTGCCGAGCAGGGAGCCCGATGCAGGACTCGATCCAGGGACTCCAGGATCATGACCTGAGCCGAAGGCAGTCGCTCAACCAACTGAGCCACCCAGGCGCCCCACTTTGTGAACTTTTGATAGTGGCCTTTTTCACTCAGTACAATGTTCTTAAGATCCATCTAGGTTGTTACATATATTGTACCTTTTGATTGCAGAGTCGTCGTCCATGATATGGTTATACCATGATCTGTTTAACCATTTATCTATTGAAGGACAACTTGGTTTTTTGCCTGTTACAAATAGAGCTGCTATGTACATTTTTATACAAGTTTCCGTGTGGACTAAGGTTCTCATTTCTACAAATTAAAGCTAGCACTGATTGCTAGATCATATGATAAGTGTCTATTTAGTTTAAAAAAATTAAATCTACATTTAGCTTATACATTTAGTATAAAATACTTCTTCTCCAGCAATGTATAAGGGACTTTTCTCTATATCCTTACCAGTATTTGGAATTGTCACAAATTTTTTATTTTGCCTGTTCCAATCTGTGTTTAATGATACTTTGTTGTGGTCTTAATTTACATTTCTCAAATGACTAATGATGTTGAAAATCTTTTCATTTGCTTGTTTGCCCTTCTTCCATCATTTTGGGTAAATTGTTTCTTTAATATCTTTTGTCTTTATTCTTATTGGATGGCTTAAGTTTTTTTTACTGTTGAATTTTGAGAGCTTTTTATATATTCTAGATATGTCCTTTCTCAAATATGTGGATTGCAAATATTTCCTCCTATTCTGTAGCTTATCCTTTTAATTTCTTAACAGGATCTTTCACATAGCAAGAGGTTTTAATTTTGATGAAGTTTAATTTATCAATTTTTTTCTTATAGATTATATAAAGTTTTTATCATGAATGTTTGTTGAATTTTCTCAAATCTTGTTTATGCATCAATTGATGTGATCATGTGATTTTTTAAAATTTAGCCTGCTAATGTGGTAGATTACATTTATTGATTTTTGAATATTGCCCTAGTGTTGCATCCCTGGAAAATAAGCCCCATTTAGCTACAGCGTAAAATACTTCTTATATATTACCAAATTCCATTTACTAATATTGTGTTAAGGGCATTTGCATCAATCTTTGTGAGGGATTTTGGTCTGTATTTTTGTTTCTTGTACTGTCTTTGTCTAATTTTGTTATCAAGGTAATACTGGTCTCGTTTATATCATTCATTTCTTTTATTATTTTCTTCCTCCTGCTTGCTTTGGATTTATCTTGCTCTTCTATTTTTAAATTTCTTAAAGTGGGAGCTTAGATTGTTGATTGGAGACTTCTTTTCTGGTGGAAGCATTTAGTGCTATACATTTCTGTCTCAGCACTGTTTTAAGTATGTCTCACAAGTTTTGGTATGTTCACGTGTTCACTTAGTATAATGTTCCTCTAGGTTCGTCCATGGTGTTTCCTTCTTTCTCATGACTGAATAATATATATGTATTTTTATGTATCTTTTTTATCCATTTATTTGTTGACACTTAGGTTGTTTTCATTACAAGTAAACTGCAATGAACATGGGAGTACAGATATCTCTTTAAGATACTAACTTCATTTCCTTTGAACAGATACCCAGAAGTAGTATTGCTGGATCATATGGTAGTTCTATTTTTAATTTTCTTGAGAAACTTCCATATTGTTTTTCATAATGGCTGTACCAATTTACATTTCCTCCAGCAGTGTATAGGGATTCCTTTTCTCCATATCCTGCCCAACGTTTGTTATCTTTTTTTTCCTTTTGGTCAAAGCCAACCGAACAGGTGTGAGGCAATATCTCACTGTAGTTTTCATTTGTATTTCCCTGACAATTAGTGATGTTGAGCATCTTTTCATGTACCTGTTAGTCACTTGTTTGTCTTCTTTGGAAAAATGTCCTTTCAGTGCCTCTTCCCATTTTTTAATTGGGTTATTTGGTTTTTTGCTGTTGCATTGTGTTAGTTCCTTGTATATTTTGAATATTAACCCCTGATCACCCGTATCATATATATATAATTAATCCCATATCATATATGTAATTTGCAAATATTTTCTCTCATTCCATAGGTTGCCTTTTCATTTTTATAATTTATTTATTTTGCAGTGCAGAAGCCTTTTATCTTGATGTGGTCCCACTTATTTTTGCTACTGTTGCCTGAGCTTTTGGTGTCAAATCCAAAAAATCATTGCCAAAACCAATGTCAAGGAGCTTTTTCCCTATGTTTTCTTCCAGTAGTTTTACAGTTTCAGGTCTTACATTTAAGTCTTTAATCCAGTTAAGATTAATTTTTCATTCTGAGTATTTTGTTGTTTTTGATTCATTTGTAAATGGGATTGATTTCTTAATTTCTTTTTTAGGTAGTTCATGTGAGTGTATAGAAATGCAACTGATTTTTGTATGTTGATTTTGTATCCTGTAAATTTAGTGAATTCGTTCATTAGTTTTAACAGTTGTTTGGTGGCATCTTCATTGTTTTTTATATATAAGATTGTGTCACCTGCAAACAGAGATGATTTTACTTTTCTTCCTGATTGGGATATCTTTTATTTCTTTTTCTTGCCTAATTACTCTGGCTGGTACTTCCAGTATTATGTAGAATAAAAGTGGGAAGAATAGATATCCTTGTCTTGTTCCTGATCTTAAAGGAAAAGTTTTCAACCTTTCATCATTGAATATGATGTTAGTAGTGGGCTTGTGATATATGCCCTTGATTATGTTGAGTTATGTTCTTTCTATACTCAATTTCTTGAGAGCTTTATCATGAAAGGATGTTAAATTGTGCTAAATGCTTTTCCTGCATTTATTGAGATGATCAATGATTTTTATCCTTTATTCTATTAATGTGGTAAATTCCATTTGATAGTATTTTGTTGAGAATTTTTTTTCATCTATATTCATTAGAGATACTGACCTATTTTTTTTCTTGTAGTGTCCTTAACTGGCTTTGGTATTAGGCTAATGCTGCCTTATAGAATGAGTTTGGGACTGTTCTTTCCTATTAAATTTTTTGGAATTATTTTATTTTATTTTATTTTTAAATCTTTTTTTTTTTAAGATTTTATTTATTTATCTGACAGAGAGAGAGAGCGACAGCAGGAACACAAGCAGGGGGAGTGGGAGAGGGAGAAGCAGGCTTCCCTCTGAGCAGGGAGCCCGACGCGGGGCTTGATTCCAAGACCCCAGGATCATGACCTGAGCCGAAGGCAGACGCTTAATGACTGAGCCACCCAGGCGCCCCTTATTTTATTTTCAAAGATGTATTTATTTTATTTTAGAGAGAGAGAGAATGGGGATGGGGGACAGAGGGAGAGGGAGAGGGAATCCTCAAGCAGACTCTGTTCTGCGCTCAGAGCCCCACTCAGGACTCAGTCGCACAACTCTGAGATCATGACCTGAGCCAAAACCAAATCAGACACTTAACTGACTGTACCACCCTGGTGCCCCTGGAAGAATTTTAGAAGGATTTGCATTAATTCTTAAAATGCTTAGTAGAATTCACCAGTGAAGCTCTCCAGTCCTGGATTTTTCTTTGTTGGAAGGTTTTTGGTCACTGATTTAAATCTCCTTAGTCATTTTTGGTCTGTTAAGATTTTCTGTTTCTTCGTCATTAAGTCTTGGTAGGTTATATATTCCTAGGAATTTATCATTTCTTCTAGGCTATCCAAATTTTGGCATAAAGCTGTTTATATTAGATTCTTATGATCCTTTGTAGTTCTGTGGTATCAGTTATAATGTCTTCTCTTTCATTTCTGATTTTATTTGAGTCTTCTCTCTTTTTCTTCTTAGTCTAAGAGTTTGTTAATTTTGTTTATCCTTTCAGAAAACCAGCTTTTAGTTTCAGTAACCCTTTCTATTATTTTTCTGGTCTCTGTTTCTGCTCTGGTCATTGTTATTATCTTCCTTCAGCTAACTTTGGCCTTAGTTTGTTTTTCTTCTTGTGGTTCCTTGAGGTGTAAATGTAGGTTGTTTATTTGAGATCTTTCTTTTTTCTTAATATAGACATTTATCACTCTAAACTTCCCTCTTAAAACTGTTTTTGACCTATTCCATAAGTTTTGGCATGTTGTGTTTCTATTTTCATTTGTTTCAAGATATTTTTTGGTTTCCCTATTGATTTCTTCTTTGACTCATTGGTTGTTCAGGAGTGTATTGTTTAATTTCCACTTGTGAATTTTCCAACTTTCCTCCTGTTACTTACTGACTTCTAGTTTTATTCCATTGTGTTTGGAAAAGGTATGATTTCAGTCTTCTTAAATTTGTTAAGAGTTGTTTTGTGACCTAACATGATCTATCCTGGAAAATGTATTTACACCTGAAAAGAATACGTATTCTGCTGCTGTTGGATGGAATGTTCTGTATCTGTCTATTAGGTCTGTTTTATATAAAGTATATTCAAGTCCACTGTTTCTTTGATGTTCGGATGGTCTATCCATTGTTGAAAGTGGGGTTTTGAAGTCATCTATTGTTATTGTATTGTTGTCTATTTCTCCCTTTAGATATGTTAGTATTTGTTTAATAAATTTGGGTGCTGCAATGTTAGGTACATATATATTTACAATTGCTAATATACTCTTGATGAATCAACCTTTTTATTATTATGTAGTGATTTTGTCTCTTTTTACAAGTTTTGATTTGTTGATTTTGTCTGATATAAGTAGAGCTACCCCTCCTCTCTGCACTTACCTACCTACCTATATGTCACTACCAAATATTATTATTAAATTTTAAGTTCCTAGAGGGTAATTAATCTGCACATTTTTCTTTGTATATTACTGTACATAGTTGCAGCTATAAGAGTGTCTTTGACAATGATGGAAATGATACTGTTTTAATAATATTTTCTCTTCTTCATTGTTTTATTTCATAGTTAAAGAATATACTTCTACAGATTTCATTTCTAAAAATGAACCAGAGAATATTTCTAAAAAACTTAGAAAAATGGGTAGAAGAGGTCACATATTAGGTGCCAGTGATCAGTTGCTACCCAAACTTCTGGTAGAACATGCTAATTTCTTTAGATGCCTTCCCTCCTCGGTACATCAAAGATGGGAGTAAGTTAGCATCGTTAGATAGAATTTCTTCCAGTTTTGGCAGGGGAGGGACATTTTTCTGTTATCCTGAGAAAACACATTGGTCAGTGAGACATAGGCCCAGCTTTTTGAATTGTCAATATGGGAAGTAGTTGCCTCCTATGGATACATTGGGCAGGGTCAATGATACTTGGTGTTACTAGAATTCCCATTAAGACTCTGGTGATCAAAATACACTTGCTTAGGAGTGAATAGAGAGAAATTTAAAGTACTCCTAAAGCATCTATAATGTTGACATTTTGAATGATAATCTGACCAACTCAGTCTCCCCCAATTCCTCTATAAAAAGAAAATTTAAGTTCCTGTAAAATGGATTTGTGTTTATTTTATTTTATTTACATCATGTGTGTATTTAGGAAGTACCCATTTATTTTGACAAAATGAGTTTTAATTTGAAAATAATCTCTGGAGGTCTAGCTGAAGGAATATGGTCTTCCAAGGGTTACCATTCAGTTTCTTAGGTTCCACAGGATTAGAAATTCTCTAAATTTACTTTTTCAGGTTAAGAACTCAAGCTGTATTTAAGTCAAGAGAACTCCTTGCTGCTAAAGAGTTTACCAAACCCCGAGAATTCAATCTGGATATGAATGGGGATGACTCTGGACCAAGGTAAACCTGACTAATGGGTGAAAGAAAGAACATGTAGGACACAGATATTAAGGCACAGATATTAAGGATATGTTTGGTATATATTTATAGCTTTATATAGGCTTATATCAGTTTTCTGATAATATGAATAAATACATTCTCATTATAAATTTTTTTTAAAATATAGGAAAGTGTAAAGAAGAAAATAATCATTCATGATCCTACCATTCAGAGATGATCCTTTGAGCCCTCTCCCCCTTTCTGTCTTTCTTTTATAATAATGTATTCTATATTGAGTAATAGGGATTATGCTTATGCAGAATTTTGATTTTTGCTTTTTTCACTGAATCATATTTTCTGATATAATTTATTTTATGAGAACTTGATATTAATTCATTCAACAAATATTTATTGACAAATATTTCTCTATTAGCCTGTTATTGGATAATACAGGCTTTTGCTATTATAAATTATGCCTTGAAGAACATTTCTATGAATAAATTTTTTACTTTATCTCTACCTGTGTCTTTGATATAGATTCTATAAATGGAACCACTAACTCAAAGTATATATGAATCCTTTTAAGATTGGTTCACATTACCCAGTTGCTTTCCATAAAAGTTAAATCAGTTTTCACCACCAAAGCTGTGTTTGAGAATTCTCTTTTCATGAAATTTGAAGAATTTTTGGCCATTATTTTTCAAAAATTTTTTTGCCTATTCTCTTTCTTCTTTCCTTTTTGGATTTCATTTATAGGTATATTAGGCCTTTAGTGAAGTCCCTGACTCTCTGCTAATTTTTTAGAATTTTTTTTCTTTGTTCTTCATAGTGGATAATTTCTATTGATCTGTTCTCAAATTCATCAACTCTTCTGTTATTTCCAATCTGCTATTAAGCCCATAGAATGATTTATTTTTATTTAGATAATGGATTTTTAGTTTTAGAATTTCCATTTGGATCTTTGTTAGAATTTCTATTTCTCTGCTGAACTTTCCTTTTTTATTCATTACAAATATATTTTTCCTTTAAAATGCTTGTCTCCAATTCTAACACCGGGATCATCTTGGGATTTGTTGCCATTGATCAACTTTTCTCTTGAGTATTGGTCATGTTTTCCTTTGTACATCTAGCAATTTTTTATTGTTTCCTGGTATTTTGAATGACTCTGGAATTTAGTTATAGTTCTCTAAACAATGTTAATTTTTATGTTAGCAAGCAGTTAACTGAATTCAAATTCCAACCTCTGTTTCCCTTGAGTAACAGTGAAAATCACTGCTGAGCTCTTTTAACTTTAACTGGGATGGATGTTTGAGTCTGCCTCATTTGCATGCAGTTCAGGAGTCAGACAGAACTGGCAGGGTTGTTACACAGAATTTGAGGCTTTCACTGTTTCTCTCTGACCTCTCCAGGATTTTTCCTTTTTCAGGTGCTTTGGTCAGCTCAGACTCTGTCCTCTGGTTCTTTAAGTCCCAATGCCACTGTCTTCTTTCAAGTGCTGATCCTCTTCCAGTTTCTGCTTGTTTTCATTGACTCTTCAGTGCTTCAGGTTTGGTTTTTTTTGCTTTTTGTTTTTTCCTCCCAGAGTTTATATTATTAATTATGGGAGTTTGGTCCTATAGATACTACTCAGCCAGTGTTAGAAGCAGAACCCAAGAATTCTCATTTCATACAATTTTACCCTCTTTTAATTTTGGTAAAATACACATAATATAAAATTTACCATCTCAACCATTTTTAGTGTACAGTTCAGTAGTATTAAGTATATTCACATTATTATGTAACCAATCTCCAGAACTTTTTTATCTTGCAAAATTGAACCTCCGTACCCATCAAACTGGTCCACATTTCCTCTCCCTGCCAGCACCTGGCAACCACCCTTCTACTGTCCATTTCTGTAGTTTGATTACTCTAGCTACCTCATATAAGTGGAATCATATAGTATTTGTCTTTTGATGACTTGCTGTAATTTATTTAATTTTTACTATTGATATCAAGCGTACGCATAGTTTAAAAACTCAACTAGTTCAACAAGGCTTATGCAAAATAGCATCCTCCTCTACACTGGAGCAGCAGTACTCCCAATTTTCACTCTTCAGAGATAAGAAGTTTTGACTGTTTTAGATGTTTCTTCTTTTACTTGTTTCTTCTAGCATTATATCCATATTTCTGGATGACGTAGGCATTGAATATTAGCTTTCTGCTCTGAAAGATGATGACTTAGCTCTCACAGATAACCATCTATTGGCTTTCTCCATCTCTTCTCACTTTTCCCCACATTTCTTCCTTCTCACCTCCTTTCCCTTTTTCACTTCCCCCCCAATATACATACCCACACACATGATTTTCCCTTTATTCTGTCCTCTAAATATAGCTATATCACAAGATGGTTACAATAAGACTGTATCTATTTTATACACAGCTGGGCCATATACTATATGATTATTAAATTTAATTTTTATTGTTTTCTCTAGAGCTTAGAAATGCCTTATTTAATTTTCTGTGTACTCATTCATTTGTCAATTCATTCAAATATTTATAAAGTTTCCCACCAGGTGTTAGATACAGTCTAAACTTTGGGGGATATAGCAGTGCACAAAACAAAAATTTCTGACCTTATGCAATTTACATTCCCAAGTCTTGTAATTCCCAAACTCACCCAGAAAGTTTAATTCTCTGAATATATTTAAACACATTAGTTATTCTATCATATCTTCATTGTGTTCTTTTGCTGCTATATTTCCTTCTTTCTTTTTTGTTTTTTTAAGATATCCCTCCTGGAGCCCTCTGTTAGCCTGTTTATATATTTACTTGCTTGCTTATGGTAGAAAAAAATATATAAATGCTGATAAGACAAAAGAAGAATTTAACACATACCTATAATCTCATCATCTAAAGAAAATTTTAGTATATAACTTCTAGATCTTATTTCTTTATGGTATATGATATGTATTATATTACATATTTTGTTTCATATTCCACTTTTTTAATTCAAATATAATTAACATACAGTGTTATATTTGTTTCAGTGTACAAATATAATGATTCAACAATTTTGTACATCACTCAGTGCTCATCAGTATAAGCATACTCTTGATCCCCTTGATCTATTTCACCCATCCCCCTGCCCACCTCCCCTCTGGTAACCATCGGTTTGTTCTGTATATTTAAGAGTCTGGTTTTTGTTTGTGTCTTTTTTCTTTGTTTGTTTGTTTGGTTTATTCCTTAAATTTCACATCTGAGTGAAATCATATGGTATTGGTCTTTATCTGTCTGACTTATTTCACTTAGCATTATATAATACCCTCTGAGTCCACCTGTGTTGCCACAAATGGCAAGATCTCATTCTTTTTTTATGGCTGACTAATATTCCAGTGTGTGTGGGGGGGCACATGCATGCACGCACACACACCTTTTTTTTTTTTTATTTTAATTCCAATGTAGTTAACATACAGTGTTAGTTTTGGGTGTACATTATAATGATTCAACAATTCTATACATTACTCAGTGCTTGTCAAGATAAGTGTATTCTTAATCCCCTTCACCTGTTGCACCCATCCCCCCACCCACCTCCCCTTTGGTAACCCTCTGTTCTATAGTTAAGAGTCTGGTTTGGGATTTATCTCTTTGTTTTTCCTTTTCATTTGTTTTGTTTCTTAAATTCCGCGTATGAGTGAAATCATATGGTATTTCTCTTTCTCTGATGGACTTAGTTCACTTAGCATAATACTCTCTAGATCCATCCATGTTTCAAATGGCAAGATTTCATTCTTTTTTATGGCTGAGTGATACTCCATTGTGTATATGTATACCACATCTTTTTCTTCCATTTATCTATAGATAGACACTTGGGTTGCTTCCATATCTTGGCTATTGTAAATAATGCTGCAATAAACACAGGAGTGCATATGTCTTTTTGAATAGGTGTTTTTGTTTTCTTGGGGTAAATGCCCAATATTGAAATTACCGGATCATATGGTAATTCTATTTTTAATATTTTGAAGAAATTCCATACTGTTTTCTACAGTGGCTGCACCAATTTGCATTCCCACCAATGGTGCATGAGGTCCTTATTCTCTGCTTCTTAGCCAATACTTGTTATTTCTTGTATTTTTTTTATTTTAGCCGTTCTTACACATGTAAGGTGATATCTCGTTGTGATTTTGATTTCCACTTCTCCGATGATTAGTGTTGTTGAGCAGCTTTTCATGTGTCTGTAGGCCATATGTATGTCTTCTTTGGAAAAATGTCTATTCGGGTTCTCTATCTAATTTTTAATCGAATTATTCATTTTTTTGGTGTCAAATTCTATAAGTTCTTTATATACTTTGGATAGTAACCCCTCTAATAAGATGATTATGTGGTTTTTATTCTTTCTCTTATTAAAGTGATGTATCACATTGATTGATTTGTGAATATTGAGTCACTCTTGCATCCCTGGAATAAATCCTACTTTATAGTGGTAAATGATCTTTTTAATGTAATGTTGGATTTGGTTTGCTAATACTTTGTTGAGGATTTTTGCATCTATGTTTATCAGAGATACTGACCTATAGTTTTTTGGTTTTGGATCTCTTTTTGGTTTTGGTTATGGGTTTTTTGGGGGGGGTGTTTTTGGGTTTTTTTGGTTTCTTGTAGTATCTTTATCTGGTTTTGGTATTAGAGTAATGCTGGCCTCATAAAATGAATTTGGAAGCTTTCCTTCTTCCATTTTTTGGAATAGTTTGAGAAGAATAGGTATTAACTCTTCTTTAAATGTTTGGTAGAATTCATCTGTGAAGCTATCTGGTCCTGGACTTTTGTTTGCTGGGAGGTTTTTGATTACTGATTCAATTTCATTGGCTAATAATGGGTCTGCTCAACTTTTCTATTTCTTCCTGATTCAGTTTTGGAAGGTTATATGTTTCTAGGAATTTATCTATTTCTTCTAGATTGTCCAGTTTGTTGGCATATAACTTTTATAATTCTTTGTTATTTCTGTGGTGTTGGTTGTCATATCTCTTCCTTCATTTCTGATTTTACTT